AAGATGAAGAAAAAATGAAAAAAAGATGTGAAAAAAGAATGTCAATCTCTTGACAAAAGGGATGAAGAGAAAAAACATGAGAAGAAAAAGGGTCAATCTCTTGACAAAAGGGATGTGACAGAGGAGCCACAAGGGTCTGGTGGGAGCCACAAGGGTCTGGTGGGGCAAGTTCCTCCTGGAGAACTCCACCAGCCCAACCACCACCAAAGCCAAGACTCCTTGTCAAAAGGGCAGAGGCCATGGATCCAGTGCCAGAACCAGAGCCTGAAGGCACCTGGATCCTGAAGCAGGACAGGAACACCAGAGTGGCAGTGGATCGGCACAATGTGATGGAGGTGGATGATGTGGTCCAGCACAAGTCCATAGCAGCTGTGCAAGGCTTGCTGCTCAGTGGCTACCAGGTGTTCATGGTGTGCTTCTGTGGCCCCCACAGGCAACACCAGGTGCACCAGAAGGTGAGGCAGCTCCCCCTGGAGTTCACTAGTGTCAAGTACACTAGAGCCAGAACTGGGGCAACAGGAAAGGCTGCCTGGCTGCACAAAAACAGCATAGGTCATCTATTTGATGACAATGCTGACATTTGCAGGGAGGCCTTGTCAAAAGGCCTGACAGTGTGGCCCATCAGAGCTGGCAGAGAGAAGCATGGGTGGGCAGACAGGGCCTGGGACTCGCTGAGCTCTGCAGTGAACACCTTCCTCATTGAGGAGGCCCTGAACAGCTGAATCCTTGCCAAAAGGATTTGAAATCTGCAAAGCCAATGGTATCAAAATCCTTGCCAAAAGGATTTGAAATCTGCAAAGCACCAGCAGCCAAATCCCTTGCCAAAAGGGACAAAATGCCACACCAATCTGCCAAATTCCTTGCCCAAAGGAATCAATTCATGCAGCCTGATCTCTTGCCAAAAGGGATTGTACAGTTTCAACAGTTAAGCCCATCAGCACAGGGGCTTGCTGTTTGGTTTTTTCCTTGTGCCATGCCACATGTGGATTTTGTTTGAAACATTCATGAAATAATTCAATTATTTAATGTCATTGTTTAACATCAACACTCATTAAAACTCTTCATCATATGTTTGTTTTTGCTGTTGTTCATGGTGTGGCATGGCACAAGGTTGTTTAAAGCAGGCATGAACCTCTTGGCAAAAGGGGCACTGTCATGCCAACAGAACTCAAAACCTCTTGCCAAAAGGGGTCAGACCAGCTTGGTCTTGCAAAAAAAAGATGTGGGCATGGGATTGGGTCAGTGCATGTTGACTGGTTTACACACCAATGTTTTTTGGTAAGTATATGACATTTAGTTTTGCTTACACCACAATCCCTTTGGGCAAGGGTTCAATTCAATCCTTTTGGTGAAAGATTTTGGGGATGGTTGTTGTTTTTTTCTTTTGTTTTGAAGTGTGTTCATGGGAAACAAATGGAACCCCTTGCCAAAAGGGATTTAAATCAATAAAGGCAAACATTACAATTAACATGTTTTCATTCATATTGAATATTATATGATATTCAGTTTCATGCATCGCTGGATGTGCAAACTTTTAACCAACAAGCTTGAAAATTGAGCTGGGATTCTATGGGTTCTGCTATTGATTTTTGCCTTAGAAAGCATGCAGTTTTCTATTGATTTTTACATGGGAATTGGTATTGATTCTTGATGCTATCAAATCAAATAAAAATATATGAATTTTCAAGGTTCCATATCAATAAGTTTCAGCCTATTGATTAGGATCAATAGACGATGCCCAGGGGAGGGTCGATCGGCGAAAACTGAGGTAAAATTGCGATTTTTACTGGTGCCGGAGCAACCCTTTCGCACGGAATGAAGGTCAATCGACGAAAACTGCGGTAAAATTGCGATTTTACTTGTCTCCGAGCAACCCTTTCGCACGAAATGAGGGTCGCTCGTCAAAAACTAAAGAAAAATTGCGATTTTATGTGTCTGTGTGTAAAAGCGTCTGTGTGTAAAAGTGTTAGTGTGTAAAAGCAACTGTGTGTAAAAGCTTTTGTGTGTAAAAGCGTCTGTGTGTAAACGCGTCTGTGTGTGTAAAGCGTCTGTGTGTAAAAGTGTTTGTGTCTAAAAGCGTCTGTGTGTAAAAGCGTTAGTGTGTAAAAGCTTTTGTGTGTAAAAGCTTTTGTGTGTAAAAGCTTTTGTGTGTAAAAGCGTCTGTGTGTAAAAGGGTCTGTGTGTAAAAGCGTCTGTGTGTAAAAGCGTCTGTGTGTAAAAGTGTTAGTGTGTAAACGCGTCTGTGTGTAAAAGCGTCTGTGTGTAAACGCGTCTGTGTGTAAAAGTGTCTGTGTGTAAAAGCGTCTGTGTGTAAAAGTGTCTGTGTGTAAAAGTGTTTGTGTGTAAAAGCGTCTGTGTGTAAAAGCTTTTGTGTGTAAAAGCTTTTGTGTGTAAAAGCTTTTGTGTGTAAAAGGGTCTGTGTGTAAACGCGTCTGTGTGTAAAAGCGTCTGTGTGTAAGAGTGTCTGTGTGTCAAAGTGTTTGTGTGTAAAGGCGTCTGTGTGTAAAAGCGTCTGTGTGTGAACGCGTCTGTGTGTGTGCAAGCGTCTGTGTAAAAGCTTCTGTCTGTAAAAGCTTCTGTGGGTAAAAGCTTTGTGTGTAAAAGCGTCTGTGTAAAAGCAACAGTGTGTAAAAGCGTCTGTGTGTAAAACTGTCTGTATGTAAAAGCGCCTGTGTGTGTAAAAGTGTCTGTGTGTAAAAGTGCCTTGATCTTCTTTTGCGCAGACACGTTCGTGTGCATGTTTGCTTGACGTGTGCATTGTTGGCATGTTTATTTTCCGGTCATCCCTGTCATGTTCAGGTCTTGCTGGCAAGTTTTAAGCAATCGTGACTTGTTTGCTTGGCATGTTTAGTAGGCATGCTTAATTTTACCCCCAAAGTGATATGAATGGATGAATGAGGTTACATTGGGATTCACTGATTTTAGGGTTGTGGAGTTTGTGGGTAACACTTTAGCATCACATTTCTTTGCTCAGGTTGGCATGGAAATTTTTGGTTTGCTACCCGAACTGTCCGAGCAGACATGACTGTAAGCATTTCCAGAGCTTCTTTTCGTGGCTGTGCTGCTTGTCTTCGGAGATTCTGGAACTGTCCGAGCAGACATGATGACTGTAAGCATTTCCAGAGCTTCTTTTCGTGGCTGTGCTGCTTGTCTTCGGAGATTCTGGAGGCCTGCTGCATGTTGTCATCAGTGCGTGGCAGTCATTCGATGTTTTGCAGCTAGTTTTTGGTTGCCCGTCTTCGGAGTGAGATATATAGAGCAAGTCTATTTGCATAACAGTATGATCCTGGAACTTTCAACTGCAAGCTTGCGTTCGTTTGTTCGTCAAAGCATGAAGCTGGTCAGCGCAGCTTTTGGTTCGAGATTTGTAAAAGCTTTTGTGTGTAAAAGCTTTTGTGTAAACGCGTCTGTGTGTGTGTAAAAGCGTCTGTGTATAAAAGTGTTTGTGTCTAAAAGCGTCTGTGTGTAAAAGCGTTAGTGTGTAAAAGCTTCTGCATGTAAAAGCGTCTATGTGTAAAAGTGTTTGTCTGTAAAAGTGTTTGTATGTACAAGTGTTTGTGTGTAAAAGTGCCTGTGTGTCAAAGCGTCTATGTGTAAAAGCTTCTGTGTGACTGTGTGTAAAAGCGTCTGCGTGTAAATGCTTCTGTGTGTAAAAGCTCCTGTGTGTAAAAGGCTCTTTGTTAAAAGTGTCTGTGTGTAAAAAGTCTGTGTGTAAAAGTGTCTGTGTGTAAAAGCATCTGTGTAAAAGCGTATGTCTGTAAAAGTTTCTGTATGAAAAAGCTTCTGTGGGTAAAAGCTTTGTATGTAAAAGTGTCTGTGTAAAAGTGTCTGTGTGTAAAAGTGTCTGTGTGTAAAAGCGTCTGTGTAAAAGCGTCTGTATGTAAAAGCTTCTGTGGGTAAAAGCTTTGTGTGTAAAAGGGTCTGTGCGTAAAAGGGTCTGTGTGTAAAAGCGTCTGTGTGTAAAAGCTTTTGTGTGTAAAAGTGTTTGCGATGCAAACTATTGTCTTGCACTTCTGCTATTTTGTCTTAATACTCCTCTTCTCGACTGCATTTAACACATCTTTAATAGATTGTTTCTAATATGGTGTCTCCATACTAACAAGAGAAGACCCTGCTCCTCTACGCTCTCGGGCCATCCGTCGTCTAGTTAGGATGGTATTTATTATTAGAGAACTCTAATAATAAATTGAAACCCTTGATTTAAAAAAAAAACTATTTGTTCGATTTCAAATTCAATTCAATTTCCTTTTATAACGCAATTAAAATATTGCCAAAAGTTGGATTTCGAAGCGGACCCTATTAATAAATTAAAACCCTTAATAAAAACACTAAAATTCTCACGGACTCTAATAATAAACACCCCGGGGTTAACTAGTTTCTATTAGGGGCCGAAACCCACAAATAGTAGCTTCAAAATTGTCTTCTAAAGGGGATAAATTAAAAGTCATTTCCAAAATTAGAGATGGACCCTAGTTTTTATTGTTTGGGTCTGTTGAAAATGACCTGTATATTTGGTTCGATGATATAGCCACTAGCAATGGTGATGTTCCGTAGCTATGTTTAGTACTGTTACTCTACCCAAGGATACAATTATATATATATCTATTACATATGATATTATATATATATACATATCCACGATATATACCAACCCCACACCACAAATTAACCCTTGTCTGAATAAATATAGACATTTATAGCAAAAGATTAGGGTCGACATGTTATTACCCATCCTAGAACCGCTCTCCATCGCTGGCTGGTTTCACCAATCTGTTTGATGGGTTCCCATCTATGTCACTTGGCATAGTTTCACCAATCTAAATGGAGCATATCCATCATAAATCTGTCCCCATCATTAGCCACCAACTTACCTATCATGAACCGCATGCAAATCCCAATCCCTTCAGAAAAAAAAACAGATTCTGCTGGTTAAATTCTCCCTGCGCTGGTTGTTAAATCATCTTCTGTGGTAACCACAGATCCAAGCTCCCCCCGGTTGCCTGTGATCGCAGCTTGCAAGCAAACGAAGCCTAACCTGGCCGGAGGTTCCATGCACATCCGGATAACCCCCTCGTTGTATATGTTGCATGGCCCCAAATAATCCCGATGTGAATTTATTCCCCAAAAACAAACAGGATTTCTGACATGTGTTGCATGTGGGGGATGGCTTCATTTCTTAAAAGGAACTACACAACTGGCTGATATCTTGGGGGACAATGTTGGTATATGCCATGGCTAGCATGTTGCCGGAGATTGAACCGCTGGGGAAGTGCCAACAACAATGGATATATTCAAACTGTTTCAACTACAAACAGAAACCAGTCAGTATATTCCCCTAAAACCAACCAATCAATCAAGCAACCAATCAATCAATCGATCAATAAATCGTACTAAATTATACTTAGACATTCTTAGTATATAAAGAATGTCATTTTTTGTCGTGTATGTTTGCGATGTCTCTGGAGCGGGTCACCCTCACCCCACAGATCTCATCGCATCGCCATCGCCAATGGCAAGGTACCAGCTGAAGACTGCCACCACCAAGAACACGGATACAGTCACCAACACGGAACCTCACTCGCCACGATACGTAGAACAAAAACCGTGGAAAAGCCTATGATATATATAATAGTCTTGTTTGCCTGTTGGTTCATGGGGAGTGTGAGTTTCACGGGGTTATGCACCATAATAACATACAATTCCACGGTCTTTATACGTTTACCTTGTGTACAGTATAATGGTAGTATAACCCCAAACAGCCCATGGGTAATTTAACTAGACAATGGAACATTCACGTAACAATTAAACAAATACAACTTATGTATCCCATGTGCCACATGTATGGTATATTTACCTACATTTGGGTGATTTCTAGGGCATATGCTGGTAAATATTCCTTACATGGAGCATATTGGACATATATATATATATATGTATAGTACTACCGTACCAATTCCCATTGAAACATGGAGGCCTACAGATGTTCAATTGCCATGTTAGATTCCTAGAGCGCAATACTCACACTGGTCAGTACCTGCATTTCTTCATGATGGGATGATAAATGATGATACTCAGCACCAAAAGAAAACATGGAGGCCCAGCTACATGTGTGGATTCAAAATGATCTGCCTATTCAAAATATAAAATGATATACAACATCATGAACTATAATATAGATATAACTATGAGATTTACTTATTAATTAAATACATTATATCTACATATTAAATTATATCATGTATATTCCTATTGAAGATCATCATTCATGCGAAATTGCGGGGTACAAGTGGATCAACTTGCACGATTTGCACCAGTCCAGAGGCAAGTTCCAGTTCTCTTGCTTGATCCTTCCAGGAAACAAATTGTCTGGATGATAGTTACTTGGATGCGCATCCCAGTTAGCAAATGGTTAATAGCTATAATAATTTAATATAAGTCACGTCTATATAAATATATATAATATAGGATAGGATGTACACAGGTTTATAACCCACTTACTATCGGGGATGCACCCCTAAGTACCCCTTACAAACCAACATTGCCAGTGACCGTGTAGGGTTGGGATAGGTCAAAACAGTGAATTTTAGCCAGACGAAATAGGAATTTGGGCAGGGAAAATGAACATTTATACTTTATGTTAAGTTGGGATCTACATTACTAGATTAACGGACCAAAAAAAAAGTTGGTGCTTATACATGCAATTTGCATTGAGAATAGACCAACACACACAACGTGTGGGTGACCGAACCCTTGCACCTTGCACCTCGCCACGGGACCGAACCACTCGACCACGAAGAGGAAGATGAAGGACATAGCGATGGCAACCACCGCTGCAATGATGAGCACCTCATAATTTTTCACCTCAGATTGCCAGATTGCCAGAACGATATCCAAAAAAATCTGGGATTTATGTCAGGAAGGCGACTCACTTGCACACACAAAATTGACTCAGCTGCGCGCACAGGATTCTGACTCACTTGCGCACAAAAAAGTGTCTCAGTTGTACACACAGAGCCTTCGGGGGATGGGGTGGGGCCCGTTAACGTCATTATCTTTCTTGCTGTCCAGCAAACACAGAAGCTGCTCATTCTTGTTCAGTTACCGGTGGGGTGGGGTGGGGTAATAACGTTCATGTTCCTGTGCACACACAGGCACAGCAACCTTATCATCTTTCTTGCTGTCCAGCAGACACTGCATCATCATCATCATCATCATCATCAGCAGCAGCAGCATCTGCGTGCACAACTGTGTTTTTTTCCGCGTGCACAACCGAGTCGGTTTTTGCGTGCACAACCGAGGCGCACCATCCTTTATGTTTATGTCACCCCTCAAAAAAATGTGTCCTCAAAAAAAGAGAGAGTGGTGATTTTACGGCCAACCAGGTTAGACAAATTATATTAAGATGACAAAAGGGGAGGCTCCGGAGAGTATTCTCCCCGAAAACATTGACCACTTCGCCAAGCTGTGTCAAAGGTTGGAGATGGTCGGAGAGCTGAAAAGAACCTGAAACCCTAGTTCAAACCAGAAATAACCGTTGCGGTTTCCCCAGCTCAAACTATTTGTTGTAACAAGTACTGTAGTAAGGATTTTGTTTATTGCCATAGGGTTCGTAACCATGGATATCTTTGGTTGAAATTGGGGTTGCTTCCATTTCTCGCGCAAAACTCATATGCATCTTCAAGGAATTCAACGGATCTGTCTCCAAGACATACTTGCCATAGAAAAAACAAATATGGTTAACTAGTTGCACTGGTGCCTCATAGTTACTTAAGACGGTCTGTAATTTCTTCAACTGTGTTAAGCAGGACTTCTGGTAGATATATGGGGTTTCCTAAACTATTGCTACCCAAAACCATTGCTTTTCCCGTTGATCACAGATTTGGGATGACCTTGGGGTACCCTCCAATTTAGGAAACCTCCATTGGACCAGCTGGTAGCGATCATGGGGTGAGTTGGTTAGCCCAATTGTGGTGTTTTTCCCTAGTTCTGGTTGTACCCAAATATGTACCTGGTTGGTGGTATACCTACCCCTCTGAAAACTATGAGAGTCAAATGGGCTGATTATTCCCAGTATCAGTATATGGAAAAATAAAACATGTTCCAAACCAACAGCCAGGTACTATACAATCCAGTCATCGAACAATTCGCCAGTTCGTTTGGGGGATACTCGCAAAAAAACCTTGTGATGCTCGCCATGTCAGCGACGAAGGCTAGCGGCTGGGCGACACTTCAGAAAGAACTACAAGGCACAGATGTGATGAAATATGTAATCTAGATTAGATATTGTCATTGCATGTCATCAAATATCTTGAACTATCATGGGACCCCATTCAACATTCTTGACATTGTTGTCACGTTGTAGCAGCGAAATCTCTATTGGTTCATCCCCCAAAATCACCAAGCATAATATATTCACCAGGCGTGATCGGTATATCCCATTGCATTCATGATACCATGATTCCATGATATGTCCAAATTCATGTTCATGTCATTCCATTTCATGATACGATTGGATTTGTTCATGTTATTCTCATCTTACTATTATGTTCATGATATTCTAATTTTTTCATGCAACATTATCCCAATGTAATTATACCATACTAGTCCCATATTATTCCCATATGATTGATTCCCTAGTACTCCGGTATTCTTAAACATATGTATCATTGCAAATCATGAACGAATTTATCATTATTGGCATTATTGGTTTCATGACATTCCATATTTACTAGTCATCATTCCATCCTTATGCATCCAGCCGTACCTTCTTAAGAAATGCTTGGGTTTTGATTTAAGGGGTTTGAGTCTCTTCTAAGTATCTTCTTAGACATTCTTGGGGTCCATAGGATATATTGTTCCCATCTTTCCAAGTTGCCACAGCACTGCTTTCCAAGTTGCCAAGTCCGACACCTGCATGGCTGTGCTGAAGAAGACCTCAGCTCGAAGTGGGATCCCATCCCGTCCCATCACGGGAAAAAATGATGAAACATGGTGGAAAATGATGGAAAATGATGAAAAAATGTGGTTTAGTAGGATTTAATTGGGTTTTTATGGTGAATCATATAAATTGAAGCACCAAAAAAAGGGGAAATCAATGGGACATATTGATGGGAATATACTGATGACATGGAAATAATCAGTAAACTAGATGGGAAATGTGAAAGGATTAGTTAGTAGGCAACTTCCCAGTCAGTAGATTCATCCACTCGCAACCGTTCGTCAATCCAAACAGTCCAAACAGTCCATGAGGTGTTGGATGTCTTGTTGGATGCCCAAGATGCCCAAGGTGGGCTATCCGCGGGAAGAGGTGCCATGGCACCCTTTTTTCCCCACTTGGCTTTGGTACTTTGAGGATCCCTTGACCGATGGTTCTTTGGTGGTCACGCCTCCGTTGTTTACTTGCTTCCACTTGGGACGACAATCTGGCGAATGAATCTTGCAGGCGTGCGCATTGGAGTTGTGAACCCTGATTAGCAACTCTGGTACATCCAAATATTTACCAGTTGGAAGGGGTTCTGGGCATTAAACCCTGCTTGATTAATGATTCATTGAAGGGGATTCCCAAACCAGTGATCAACGCCTCTTGAAATCGATCCCCCCAAATTAAACAAGCCAGGAGCCTATGAATCCATGCAGAAAACCGCTCACAAGAATGCTGCACTAAGAAAGAACAAACTTGTCCGATTTTTTCTTAGTTGGGTATGGGTCCAAACCTATTATTACGATATTTCAGGGAACAAACGTCCATTATATAGCCAGCTATTTTGTGTCATGGCCAGATCACCAAAAAAAGTCGGACATTATGAGGGTTCCCTGTGCCTCAGATGTAGACAGAAAAGATTGGTCAATTGGGAAGCTCCCAGGTAGACTTGAACACAAAAAGTGATTAGTATAGCAAGTCCAAAACACACTTAGATTGCATATGATTCTTGGTAAATTAAAGTAATTCACCAACCTGACAACTTCGGACATTTTTGGATGATTCCGCCAATACTGAGCATCATTTCTGGTCGCGACGTTGTTACGATTCATCCAGGTGGCTGGATATCAAAACACCTTTGAAAGCACCAACTAGATTCATCATGTCGGCCCTTGAGACCACATATCATATATCATTAAAACAAGATATGTGAAGATTGAACCAGAGAGCTTTGGTTGAGATACCTTGGCCAAAACTGCCAAACTCAAATTTGAAGATACTATCTCAAATTGGTACATTGGTAAAGGGTATTTTCAAGGTCAAATTCTATGGTTCACTGGTACCCAAATTTCGATCCATATCACGCCATTGTCTTTTGGACTGTGCGCTTTTGCCTTGCAATAGTTGCAGACGAACACGTAGGTCAACCACGGGCACAATCTCCCTCTAACGGGGGGGGATGGTCACCATGCCTTGAAGTACTGCCATCATGGCTTGAACTACCTTGGCCCAGGCCTTTGTTCAAAAAGAGTCCGACAAATCTGCGTGGAGCGCCATCTTCACTATGGTTTGTTGTCTTTCAGGCAGCTGCGAAAAATACAAGATAAGTTTCTTGGCTTCTGGGCTCAGAGGTCGGAACTTGTTGATGATCATGCAGTCTTGTTCATGCTTCGAATCGCAACAAAAAGAACTACTTAGATGGGCCATGGGACTATTGGTTAGTAACTGGGGATCTAGCCCCCAAACAATCCGAATTTATTTATCCATTTACTAACTATAGTTAACGAACTCCATGGCCCATCTAAGTACCTCCAGTCATGTTTTTTTTTCATAGGATAATCCATGAACTAAACCATTCAGCTATTGGGGATCCCCCATTGTTGTTTTCGGCTCGAATTCCAAGAATCAGCGAAAATATGTAGCAAATCATAAACATGTTATACCTTTGTTGGTCCAAGCCATGTTTTTTGATTTGGGGATTTCGAAAAACCCATTTTTTTTGATTTAAGGGGATTTCTAAAAATGGGGTATACCCCAACAATGGCTATTGAATGCGGAAAATGATGGCAATCCTCATGTATTTTGGGCTACTCTATTCATGGCCAATCTTAGATACCCTGCACAAAATTAAATTCTTAGCCGGTTAGTAGATAATCCCGTTGATACCAAGGCTAAAGGATTATTTCTACCCATCCAAGATTGATCTAGAGTATATCCCATTATATATTCCATTAACAATGAATTTTAAACCAGTTATATGTTATATCATCCCATTATTATCCCATTAACATCTAAGATTGACCTAGATAAGACAAACCCGTTTGAGCCAGGTATTCTTGCCTGGCCCTGGTCACCGAGCTGCATCGCTGCCAATGAGGTCCTTGATCTTGCCCTGTCGCGAGCGAGAACGAAGCCATATTTTATGGTCATTTAATGGTGATTTCATCCGGATTTCATGGCAATCTAAATGTATATAGATTAAAATATGTAATCCATATATATATATATATATATATTCCATTAAATCATATTATGTATATGAATGTGTATATAAATATATATATATATATGGGTATAGGATCTAGTGATGATTTAATGGAATACCCTTAGGGTACGGGTAAACTGTAAAAAAAAACATGTGGGACACCTGGCTATTTTCCTTAAAGAAAACGATCTACAAGTGGATCATCCACATGTTTACCCCAGGTTGTTTACCAAATATGTTCAGCATCTTTATACATGTTTATGGGTAAATCGAGGGTCTGGGTAATGCTTGAAATGTTGGCAACCATCTATCTTGGGATGATCCCCTGCACAGACCATCATATGTTTGGCTTGGTTGTTTTGAGGCAATTAGAATTTGATTTCATTTGCACAATGTTGCGGACTCATATTAAGTACCCCAAAAAACGATGTGGGCTACCGGCGGCTACCAGCACTTTGGAGTCACATACCGATCCGATGTGAATCTATTGTGGATCCCAATATTATATATATATATATATATATTATATGTATATTGCAAACCACTACAATTTGGTCGAAAGTTCCGGTGAACGTTTAATGAGAAAGCAATGTAGTGCTGAACTGTCGTCCCTGGGACACTCCAGTATCAGGACATGATGAAGTTCCAAATTGTTGAATTCTTCCAGCAAACCAACAAACAAGAAACTTGGATTTGCTTAAGGCCCCTAAAGCCCCCCCAAAAAAAACATATCCCCTATGGATTCCCCATTTCTGATGTATTTCCCCTTGGGAACGTCAAAAATCAAACCCCCTGTCAATTAAGGGGTGGGGCTGTGCAACCATTTTGTAGTGAAGAAACGGCTTGCATAGCCTCAAGTTCTACTAAATGGATGCGCATGCATGATCGAATTTCACTACTAAATGTGGGCCCCTGGTTCAGCTGAAGCGCAAAATTTGGATATATTTTCAGAGTGTCTTAAGACACCACCATGACTCGACCAAACACCCTGTTCCATTTAGTAGAGGTACTCATTTGAGCACAAATTGCGGGACCAACATCACTCGACCAAAACCCCAAAGCCATTTAGTAGAGAAATACACGGGGTCCATTTAGTAGAGAAAACAACATGAAACACATATGACTGATCCCATGACCATCCATTTAGTAGAGGCAGCACTTGGCTAAACAGGGGAAATCTTGATAGATTTTGGACATTTTGGGACTACAAAATGGTGTTCCATAGCACGTAAGGGATAATAGGGCACACAAGGATGCAACAGGGCTTTGTTTGAAACAGTTCTAGATAGACTGATCCCATGACCATACATTTAGTAAGCACCCGACGAGCAAGAAACACCCAAGCGAGGGATTTGGCATCGCCCCCAAAAAAAGAACCCAAACACGAAAGGCAGCACCCGACGAGCAAGAAACACCCAAGCGAGGGATTTGGCATCGCCCCCAAAAAAGGCAAGGCAGCACTTGGCTAGACAGGGGAAATCTTGATAGAATTTTGACATTTTGGGACTACAAAATGGTGTTCCATAGCACGTAAGGGATAATAGGGCACACAAGGATGCAACAGGGCTTTGTTTGAAACAGCTCTAGATAGACTGATCCCATGACCATCCATTTAGTAGAGGCAGCACTTGGCTAGACTGGAGGCGGCATGGCAGGATACCGCAAGGATGCTATCTTTGTCCAACTTGTGTTGTTTCATATCGCGGTATACCCGATCATGTTGATTTACTTCAATCCAGGAATATCTTTGATATTCATTGGCATTCTAGAATTTATATTTATTTTTCAAGTTTCTTATTTTTTTTGAGCATCTATTATATTCTATTATCATATACTATCTGGATTTACGTGATTCATCCTGATGGACATGGATAGGCCAAACGGCTATCGGGGGCAACGGAATGGGAATCTCTACTAAATGGTTTTTCAGCTTTGTCTCGTTTCATTGTGACCGTTTTATGAACTCTACTTCGCAACCTCTACAAAATGGTTTCTGTGATTTTGCAACATTTTTTTGACATCTCTACTAAATGGTTTTACCCAAAAAACAACATTTGACATCATATGATTAACATATCATTTTTACCTCTCTACTAAATGTGGATCATGGGTCTAGAGATGTTTACTTGCTTTTTTTTGGAAAAATCATGATTCTCTACTAAATGGTTTCTAGAAATTTCACACTAAATTGTTGGTTCACTTTCCGGGACCTAGATCATAGCATTTAGTAGTGGAAATTGGCAGGAGGATAAAAATCACACAAACTCATGGAAACCACCATAGCAAGCTAGCAGGAACAAATGCTCCATCACAGCCAGAAAACTGCTGCAAATTTGGTGTACACAAGGACTAAGCACCTCTGCGTCAAGTCTAGATATTGTTTATACATACAAGGTAGTGCCCCCAAAGGGGAATGTTTGTTGGTTGATAAACCCATTTAATGATAGCTATGATCACCATACCTAATGATTTTTTGTTGGCTTATGACTCTTATTATGACCCATGGAGTACTACACTTAAATTTCCTGGTTGGTGGTTTGACCCCTCTGAAAAATATTAGTCAAATATGATTATTGTTCCCAATATATGGAAAAATAAATTCATGTTCCAAACCACCAACCAGTTACTTATTTCATCACCCATGAACCCAACAGTTTTTGTCTGGCTCCCAACTTTGAGCAGATGCCAGTGACGCAGCCGGACCCAAAACTGCACCTGATACTCTCCGACCTTTGGTAAGCAAACCACACCTGCGCCACGCCGGTTGTTTCATGGTTTCATGGCCACGCTGTCAGATTACCAGAGGGTCATGGTCATCAGGATGAGCTGGTCTTATGAGTAGTGTATGTTCATTAAGTATCAAAAAAATGCAAAAAAATCTTGGAATAGCGTTCGAGTCACGCGAAGCTTTGCATGGTTTGAGTATCAAAACCCATTCGGCATTCGTATCCCAGGCATTACAGAATCCCCATGATGTTTCTGGATAAGCTTGAAAAGTTTGGCTCATCATCCATTCACCCATTCCCCCAATTTGGGGATAGTTACTCTTGCGAAGCATCAAAAAAATTGATCATGGTAATAGTCGATGCTTCACGTCTGGAATATTCAACAACATTTAAGCCACCCATGGCCCAAAGGTCCCAACTATCCTTGGGGTACTTAGACTGCAATTCATATAGTTATTGAACCTCCCCATTTAGTTCAATGATTTATCTATAAAAACCTGGGGATTTTCCATGGATATGTTAATTTACCAGAAAGTAGTGAAATAAACCCATTCAATCTAAACATCACCCAACCATCAGGGGAAACATCTGTAGCAACCATTGAAGGGACATTTGCAACCCCCCATGACAGGTCCTAAATGTCCACAAAAACTAATACATAAAATATGTTCATGCCCAATCTTAGATACCCATGTGTGTATATCTCCGTGGGGAAAGATTAAATCAATATATAAATATATATAGTGCATAGCCCAGATTTTGCCAGTAAGTTTTAGGTTTGAAATAAGAAACACAATTTGGTGGTTTGTTGATTTTCTGCAAACAAAGTTTCACATAGTTTCACCCTTTGGAGGGTTTATATCCAATAAAACCATCTAGCCCCATATTGTATAAACATCTAAGTGCATGGCTACTTGTGGCTGCAACCCAGTCAGTAAGCAGCTAATTTTTGCATGCTCTAGACCCAGATATCGCTATGTGTGTATACATAAATCACATATGTATATATATATATATATATTATATATATATGTGAAATTTGCGCAGTTCTATTTAAGATATAAACCATATGGTAATCACACGTGGCAATGGGAAATCTCCAATTAGTTCCTTGATTTTCCCAGCTATCAGACTTTTTTGGGTGGGAATTTTCCAGCTAGACACGTTTGATTGCCAGAGAATAACCATCAATTCAATGGCAAATGGTTTGCGAATATAGACCCCTATGGATCCAAACACTGTCTGGGAAGGTACTTGTATAACCCCCTCAGTCACCATACCCTAGTCGCACTTCCTTTCAGAAGGTACAGCTGGATCCATAGGGATATATATATATATATATATATATTAAAACAGTATATATATAAGGTCTATATATATATATACACATAAAAATATAATAATAATGATATATATATATATATATTATACAAAGATGTGCCTTGACTTAAGATGGACTTAGGGGTTTTATAAAAGGACTTAGGGAAGTTAATTTGAAATTATGTTAAATTATGCTAAAGGTGTTGTAAGTTAAGTTATATCTGTTGTATTGTTTTTTGGCTTTATTTTTTTGGCAATTGTCATGTGATTTTGGGAAGTTCCGTTCTTCCCGCTTTTGATCTCGAACTGTGAAGAGTTTCTGGCAAAAAAACAGCGGTTCGGGTGAGCTTGAGCAAGAAAAACAACTACGGATTTCAGTCTTGAGGAAACACAAAAAACACGTTTTAACACATATGGGTTACCAAGCAGGATGGTGATGAGAGCTGGAAACATGATCGCGTTCCCTTGCCATTTTGGATACACATGCGAGTTCATATGTTTTTGTGGAAACACATCCCGAATGTCGAGATTTTTGAGCACCATGTGTATAGATGTGGAAACACATCTTTAACACAACGCGTTTACAATCACTTTTTATTTCCCTGTGTGGAAACACATGCGTATTTACTTTTTCTGGAACTGTAAAATCTAGAAGCACATGCGCGTTTCCTTGTTTTCTTCTCTAAACAACAGGAAACACATGCGCGTTCCACGCCAACCTTCTCTCATCTTCTCTTAAACAACAGGAAACGCCAGGATTTGAAGGCCTGCAGCGTCGCTCTCTGTGCTATCACATTTCAGCTGCAGCCATGCTTTCCGTGAAATTGTCCCCCACTTGAGCAGAAAAAATGTCCTGCCATACAAAACATCCGTTTCCAGACCAAAAAACAGCTATCTTTGCCAACTGTTTTGTATCCTTTTTTGATGTATCTGCTATCTGATGTTATATCTCCCTATCTATTGGTATAATTTTAGCATGACTTATGCAAGTTACCCCCCATTTATAAATATACTTGAACCATGTTATAAAAATAAAAATACAACATATAAAATGATTTGGATGTCAAGGCACAACATTGTATATATTATTATATTGTATATATATATATATAAAGATATTATAATATATATATATATATATATATTATAACATAAAATCATATAACATGTATAAATATATATATATATATGCAAAATAAATAAATAAATATAAATATATGATGGATTAATGATATGGGGTTCAAGATGATTTAATGGAATACCCTTAGGGTCAACTATTGAAAAAGATGTGGGACACCTGGCTACTTGCCTTTAAAAAACGATCTACAAGTGGATTTTCCACAGGATGTCCTATTTGTCTGTCTATTTCGGGGTGACCATACGTCTTGATATCAACGCTACACAACGGGATGCGCATCCACCGACGCCAGTCTCACCTCCCAGGGGTATGGTGGGATAGCTCTTCAAAGACACCTGCTGCGCTGACGGCTTAACGTAGCTATAGAGAATCACCATTTTTAATAGGGGTAAAATGGTGTAAATCAGGAAAAATATCATAAGTTTATGAACAGGCAATTTTCCAAGGGTAAGTAAATCAACATAGATCCGGAAAATAGCCCATTCTTAGTGGAAAACAATGATTCCAACCCCCGACTCATGGCAGGGTCGGCTTGCTAATCAATTTACTGGAGGGAAAGTTTATTGTTGATTTATCTACCCAAAAGAATCCAAACATGTACTATGTGGCTATGTGGGTGTTTAAGGTGAAAGTAGTCCGCTGGGAACCAAGTACTCCTCACAAAAAAGTGAAGTTTGCCTCCATGATACTAGAAAGCAAATGCGACATCATGCCTGTTTTCATTCCCCCCCACGTTGATGTATACCTCACCCCGTTGCCAGGGGGCCATCGCTTCAGGTAGCACATGGTGGCGCCATAGGCCAAGGCGAGACACAACATTTCACACGTGAAAATTGGTATTCACATCGTTTCATTCAAGTTCACGGCAATTTCACGCGAGGCGCAGTTGCCCATCATCCTTACATTATTTGAACCTAAAATGAAGGGTGAAATTTGGCACCGACTTTGAAAGATGCAATTCCCCTACAATGGTGTGATCACAGCGTTGTGAGTGTCACTGGCAAAAATAAACTCCTCATTTTATGATTATAAACTTGAACATATGTTCAAAATCAACATAATTGGCTGGATTACGCGGCTTTAAAAAATTGAGCCCCCAGTGGCAAAAACAATTAAAACTTGCAAAATCTTGATTCTTGCTATTCAAACCCTTCATTCTTTGCTATCTGAACCATGTCATAAATCATAAAGGTCTGCACGTGCATGGTCAGGACAGGGCCAGCGGTCCTTTTCATGATAATACCGGCTAATACCGGGGAACTCCCCGCAGGTCATCATGGAGCTCGGTCCCGTCGCAACAAGGCGATACACCAACTTGGCCTTAAACATGCACTATTTGACCAACTTTCGCCAAACATGTAGATAGAACATCTTTGGATTCTCAGGGTATAGTTAGATGACTTTACTTTAATTCAGTGCCCTTCCCGTGACGAACCATTTTTCAGGAAAAGATCACCAACCACCGGGGAACGGCCATGCGTCACAACCTCGTCAACCGATCAATGCCGACCATTTTCTTCCGGGATTCCCCCGCGGATGCGATCAATGCACAGGTTTGAATCGTGGTACTTCCACCAGCACATGTTGGGGAAAATTCATGGGGATTAGCCTCTGGTAAACTAAGAGTTTGCTTTTGAACATGGCCATAGAAATAGATGATTTACCATGATTTACCCATGAAACATGGTGGATCTTTCCATAGTTATGTAACAAATTACCAGAGGGTAAAGCTGGTACAAAGCCGGGAAGGGATATTTTTCGCAAGAAAACTCGAGAAGTTCACGTGCAAATTTCACAGAAACCTCTCCACCATCGAAACATAGAGCCTTACCTTTCGACCAACTTCGGGATTTCACCGGGACTTAAACCGACTAGTTCACCAGCACAAGGGCTTCACCAGGGCAGCCCTGATCATATGAGGATTTTGATGGCTTATTTATGGCAATTGATGAATTGTTCATGGACAAGTTCATGGGTCATCATGCTTCATATCATGTTTCATGATGGTTGAGAATGGTTGGTGAATGTTGAGAATGGTGTAAAATGAAGGTAATTGGTGAATAGTCATGGAGATTTCCTGGAAAATTATTATGAAGGGATCAGACAAATGGACTGCAAAAATGGTCCACTTCTTGGCCTGAGAGAAGACACATTTGATTGGAAAAGGTGCAGTAGTGTAAAGCCATTTTTGTGCTCAAAGAATTGTGATGTATGTTGGTCAAATGGGTATGATTTTATGATTTGTCCGGGTACTATTTTTTGATGCCATGATTTGTGTGAAACACGATATGTATGATATGAGACCATCATACCAACAATGTACCTGGACAAAGGAGGACACTACTTCTCGGGGAACATCCTCAGTTGAAAACACACGACCATTGGCACGACCACCGATGACCAATTAGGAGGAATATGTTCTTATAATTCTCGTCCCTAATTTACCCTAATACATCCTAATACCATAAATACCATAAAACTCAGACCAATATAAGAACAATATCAGAACTAGAACAATCAATGGAACAACAAAGTGGTATTGAGTTCTATTGATCCATTGTTCCATTGTTCCTTTCTGTTCAATAAATCTGTGCAAAACAATCGCCATGTTGGCGCCTCCTCGGCTCCTTCGGGCACATCCCGTCCAGCAGGAGCCGTCCAAGCGGGTGCAGCACCAGGCTGTTTGGGCACATCCTTGGGCGGGGAAGCTGAAGCTGGATATGAAGGTCCTGGTGGTCGAACGGGATTTCATGATGAGTTCATGGTAATTTCATGATTTTTGTAGCTCCATTTTATCCTGAAATTCCCATTGGTTTAATGGTCAAGCAAAAGAGATGGTTCTATCGTAAAATAATGACAACTCATGGGCAGTAGATGATTGTGACTGGCAATTTTCATGGGAATTGACATGAAATTACCTTGTATGAGCCTGTCCTTTTGTTGAGGAACTTTACTGGTTAGTGGTTTAACCATCTTGAAAATATTAGTCGCTGGGAAGGATTATCCCATATATTATGGAACATAACAAATGTTTGAAACCACCAACCAGTTATGATGAAGCACAGAACATATTGAGATACCCCAGTTTCAGACCCAGATGACATTGGAAAAAACACTTTCCAGCTGAGGTCGTGGAGAGCAACTGAACCACGGAAGTTTCCATCCAGAAATAGTGGTTTAATGGGGGTTCATGGGGAACTTTTTTTTTGGCCGGGTCTATAACATTCTGTGATTATCTAACAATCTAACCAACAAACTATAATACTTCACCAAACTAAACTAAACTAAACTAACAAACTAACTGGTGTCATCAAACATGGCTAGCTGGAAAATCCTAAATCTGGGCCTTTCATGGGAAAAGAAAACAATCGAACTCGGGATTTTCCAACCAGGTGCCTCAACCCCCTAGCCGATCCCCAATTCCTGGTGGAAACAGCCAACGTCAAGTTTCAAGGCGACAACATAGTTATGGAATGGATAGGAAATGGACATGTGAAAGATTTTTTCATTAGAACAAGAATACTGTTGTAAATCGCATATTGTATCTACTTCAGGAAAAACTAAAGTAGCGTATGAAATCCCATATTGTATCTACTTCAGGATAAACTAAAGTAGCGTATTATGTTGTGTGGATTTTTGTCGGTCGTTATTTGGATTTGTTGCAGACCTGACTCAACCACTGTCACAAGTTCAAAAACTCATGTGACAAATGATGGTTTCGAACTGGGTCAGAATTTCACAATTGACACACCCGCGATTTCCAACTCAATTTTTGACCTCTTCCCAGCCATAACCTTTGGTAAACTAAGATAGCTATTGAAAATGGCCATTTATAGTGGATTTTCTCATTACTGCGCTAGTAAAAGTGGTGATTTTCCATAGTTATGTTAGTTTACCGGAGGGTATATCCTATGCCATAACTTCCCATGAACTCGCCGTCGGATCACCAACACAATCAATCCAAGTTTCCCTGATGTGCAAAGGTGCGATGGTGGGACCATTGGGCGACCACGTCAAGTAGGGGTTGGGGTCTCTCTTCATCGATGGCATCGGTGGCACCCCTTCCTCTGGCTTCGTCGGTGCCGGCTGCGCCGGTGCCGCCGGTGTGGCCGGTGCAGCAGGAGCCGGGTGTGCCTGGGGGCAATGTGACACCCGGAGGCCCTGAGGCCCTGAGTTAAGAAGAAAGGTTTTGCTTCACTTAGTTCAATATTTTGTGCCAGGATTGAACAATCGGCAATAATATCTACTTCGTCCAAATCAAAGAGTATTGTTGAAACCGATCTTCACTGAGGTCTCAGGACCTCGATCTTTGGGAAACAGAAGGAAAACCAAAGTTTTGCACCCACACATCCATAATGCAACGATGCTCAGTTTGCTTTCGTGGCCAGCAGTGGCATAAGAAGAGTTTGATTTATTTGGAATCCGCACGTACAATCACATAGACAAGAAGATGGGAAAGGTTTGATTTCAACACATTGGCAGCGCAATGGGTAGATTTGGAGGGTCGCCACATCCTATTGCTGCTGTAAGGTCAACATTGTCCAGACCCCTAGTTTGAACCCAAAATACAAGTGATTTGGTTGAAATCAACAAAGTTAATGTGACCCATCAGTTTGTTACTATGAGTTGTATTGTATAATATATGCATTCACATATATCATCAAAACTCTGGTGCTTCCAACCTACTGCCAAGGCAGGATTGTTGAACATGTGAATGTAACAAAACACTTAAATTGACTTGGCAATCCGCAAAAATGGGCCAAAATGGGTCCCATGCCCCTTGACCCTAAAAGTGAGCAGAGTCAAAACCTCGGTTGATTCTTCTATGGGGTTGTACTATCCAATACGACATTGGGGATGATCACAATCCATATACAATCCATTACGTCAGCATGAGAAATCCTATCAACCAGCGCCCCGCGTGCCTCTTCGGTTGCGGGAGCCGCCTTTGTCTTTGCCTGACCATGGGATTATGTTGATGACATATTGATATAAATATTGAAGATATTTCATGGGATATGATTCTATGACATATTTCTATATATTTGACCAACTTCATGTACAATCGATAAAATGTTTCGGAACTTGATCATCGTGGATTTGGAGGTGCTCTATTTGCTCTATCTATGTTGTATTTTCAACCATATCCATTCATGTTTACACACCATTTCTGGTATATAAATCATACAAACCCTTCACCTATCATCATCTACATACATATACGTAATATGTCCGTGTGTGTGTGTGTCTGTTGGTTAAATCGTGTGAACGCCATTAAACAGATGCACATCCCATCCAATTATACTAGTTGGTTGATAGGTTTCCCCAATATGGGTTGAAACTATATCCAAAAACTAGGTACTAGGTAATATAATGTTTTTTACAACTATATAATCAACAAGGCCTTATGTGAAACCCATGGTTGTATAATTATGTTGATGTTAGCAAAGCAAGAGTAGACCATCCACAATTCTACCATAAATGGGCTGTATGAACAATCAAATACGGTTGGTTTATTGTCTTTACGGGCATTGTACATGTTATGTGTTTTGCTACCCTGTAAATCCTGGATCCGTACTAAATGAGTTCCTCGCTGCTCGAAACCATAGCAATGCAGAGTGTTTACGGCCGAGGGCTGATAGCAATATCAATGATACGGCCGAAGGTTCTTGGAACTGTTCACTTACGACTACACTCCCCAAAAATAACATAGAACTGCATGCTATTCCTGAGGTCTCCTAACATGAACCGATGGTACGGTCTCACGTGGATTTTGTTCCCCAGGAAATCATGCAACTAACTTTTTTAATAAAATCACTCAAAAACTGACATGGAACCCAACGCAGGCCCAAACTGAACCCAAACTGCACCCTGAAACAGCCAACCTAGAATTTGAACAAGTTATCACAAAGCGATCTGCAAACTTGAAGGGTGATGTGCAGGTTAACCTGGAACCCAAGTAGTTTTAAGGCGCTCTCCCTCAAAAATCCATGTTAGTGACTTTCGGCCGAATCAATTTTCATTTCGTGTCGCGCTCACATTTTGAAAATTATTCAGGTTCCAGGTCTGTCGTGGGGAAAGAACTGAAACCAAAACACCTCCAAGAAAAGGTCGTGACTTATTTTTCGATATGTGTTGGGTTCCGTTTTCGTCGCGCAACCTTCCAAAGTAAGCCGCAACAGGCAGAAAACCTGACAGCGGAGAGAGAAAAAACAAGCGACATGAAAGGATAACAGATATCAGCAAACTAAAAAAAAGATGGAAAGAGCAACAAGGAGCAAAAGAAAGACAAACGTTAATTTTTTTTGGTGAATTTGCTGGAGCTGGGGCCCCCAAAAGTTAAACTCGTTGGGTTCCATGTTGGTTTCCGTTGGGTTCGACGACCACACCCGGGGGACACATGGTGGAGGAGAGCTTGACCAGAGGGAGCATACGGGGAGACAAAATGTGGCCACCAGTCCAGATTCAGCCCAAAAACGTCCAAATAGCACATTTTCTCCTTTACCAAGTGTAAAGGAAAATTAGGATCCCTAAGTCCATTCGAATCCCGGATTTCTCCCGAGAGCGTCTGAGCGCAGGGTTCTTCCAATAGTGGGGGTCTGTAAAACATCTTCTCATCTTCACATCTTCTCATCTTTACATCTGCTCATCTTCACATCTTCTTATCTCTTCTCATCTTCACATCTTCACATCCTCACATCTTCTCATCTTTACATCTTCTCATCTTCTCATCTTTACATCTGCTCATCTTCACATCTTCTTATCTTACATCTTCTCATCTTCACATCTTCACATCTTCACATCCTCTCATCTTCACATCCTCACATCTTCACATTCTCACATCTTCTCATCTTTACACCTCTCATCTTCTCATCTTTACATCTGCTCATCTTCACATCTTTTTATCTTACATCTTCTCATCTTCACATCTTCACATCTTCACATCCTCACATCTTCACATCCTCACATCTTCACATCCTCTCATCTTCACATCCTCACATCTTCACAGCTGCTCATCCTCACATCTTCACATCTTCTCATCTTCCCCTCTTCACATCTTCTCATCTTCACATCTGCTGACTTCACATCCTCACATCTTCACATCTTCTCATCCTCTCCTCTTCACATCTTCTCATCTTCACATCTGCTGATTTCACATCCTCACATCTTCACATCTTCTCCTCTTGTCCTCTTGCCCTCTCCTTCTTTTCTATTTCTCTCTTGAAGGCGGGGGCAGGGGCAGTGCCAACGAGACGGCACGAAACGCAACCCTTTCGCAAGAAATGAGGTTCGACCGCCAAAAACTGAGGTAAAATTGCGATTTCAAGTCGTCCGGCGCAACTTCGCACGAAATGAAGTTCGATCGCCAAAAATTGACGTAAAATTGCGATGTCAAGGGGTCCAATCGCAACCCTTTCGCACGAAACGAGGTTCGATCGCCAAAAACTGACGTAAAATTGCGATTTCCAAGTCGTCCCGCGCAACCCTTTCGCACGAAACGAGGTTCGATCGCCAAAAGTTGACGTAAAATTGCGATTTCAAGGGTCCAATCGCAACCCTTTCGCACGAAACGAGGTTCGATCGCCAAAAACTGTGGTGAAATTGCAATTTCTCTTGTCCAATCACGACCCTTTCGCATGAAATGAGGTTCGATCGCCAAAAACTGTGGTGAAATTGCAATTTCTCTTGTCCAATCACGACCCTTTCGCATGAAATGAGGTTCGATCGCCAAAAACTGCGGTAAAATTGCGATTTCCAAGTTGTCCGGCGAAGTGTGTAAAAGGGTCTGTGTGTAAAAGGGTCTGTGTGTAAAAGCCTCTGTGTGTAAAAGCGTCTGTGTGTAAAAGTGTTTGTGTGTAAAAGTGTTTGTGTGTAAAAGCGTCTGTGTGTAAAAGGGTCTGCGTGTAAAAGCTTCTGTGTGTAAAAGCTCCTGTGTGCAAAAGGGTCTGCGTGTAAAAGTGTTTGTGTGTAAAAGTGTTTGTGTGTAAAAGCGTCTGTGTGTAAAAGCGTCTGTGTGTAAAAGCGTCTGTGTGTAAAAGCTTCTGTGTGTAAAAGCTTCTGTGGGTAAAAGCGTCTGTGTGTAAAAGCGTCTGTGTGTAAAAGCTTCTGTGTGTAAAAGCTTCTGTGGGTAAAAGCTTCTGTGTGTAAAAGCGTCTGTGTGTAAAACTGTCTGTGTGTAAAAGCGTCTGTGTGTAAAAGTGTCTGCGTCAAAAAATGTCTGTGCACAAAAGCTTCCGTATGGAAAAGCGTCTCTCTGTAAAAAGTTCTGTGTGTGAAAAGCTTTTTGAAAGATACGATGCAAACTATTGTCTTGTACTTGTGCTATATTGTCTTGATACTCCTCTTCTCGTCTGCCTAAAACACATCTTTAATATATTGTTTTGTAATATGGTGTCTCCATCCTAACAAGAGAAGACCCTGCTCCTCTACGCTCTCGGGCCATCCGTCGTCTAGTTTTTTACTTGTTGTTTTTGTCCGCCGTTCCCTTACCCCCAACGAAATGTCCATTCAGGTTCCAAATTAGTTTTCGGGTTCCTGGAGTCCATGGTATGCAAAAAAAACACAAGTCCAGATTCAACCCAAACATGCTGGGGAAAACATTCACCAAATGCAATTAGACCTAAGAAAAACTAGGGCTGAGTGGCGCAACATGCTCCAAAATATGGTTCCCCATCCCACTCCAGGGGAGAGGGATTCCTTTTTAATGGTTTTTTTTTGTTGGTGCCAGGCCTTCTGCCAATAAAATGAAGACATGGGTGTGGAAGAATGATAAGGTTCTTTCAACATAAGGTTCAACTAATGTTTTTCTATATCGGTTGGGTTCCATGTTGGTTTCGGCTGCAAGCGACGGCTCACGGAGAACGGACACTCAACGGGGGTTGTGTCAACGGGGTTTTGTCCATGTTGGGTTCCATGTTGGTTTCCAGCTTTCAGGGTATGGGGGAGGTCACCATGGGAAAGGTACCATGGGGCTCCATGTTGGTTTCCATGTTGGGTTCCATGTTGGTTTCCATGTTGGTTTCCATGTTGGGTTCCATGTTGGTTTCCAGCTTTCAGGGTATGGGGGAAGTCAGTCACCATGGGAAAGGTACCGTGGGGGTCCATGTTGGTGTCCATGTTGGGTTCCATGTTGGTTTCCATGTTGGTTTCCATGTTGGGTTCCATGTTGGTTTCCACCATGGGAAAGGTACCGTGGGGGTCCACGTTGGTTTCCATGTTGGTTCCATGTTGGTTTCCAGCTTTCAGGGTATGGGGGAGGTCACCATGGGAAAGGTACCGTGGGGGTCCATGTTGGTTTCCATGTTGGGTTCCATGTTGGGTTGCATGTTGGTTTCCAGCTTCCAGGGTATGGGGGAGGTAACCATGGGAAAGGTACCGTGGGGTGTCCATGTTGCCTTCCATGTTGGGTTCCATGTTGGTTTCCAGCTTTCAGGGTATGGGGGAGGTCACCATGGGAAAGGTACTATGGGGGTGCATGTTGGTTTCCATCTTGGGTTCCATGTTGGTTTCCAGCTTTCAGGGTATGGGGGGGGGTCACCATGGGAAAGGTACCATGGGCGCCCTTGTTGGTTTCAATGTTGGGTTCCATGTTGGTTTCCAGCTTTCAGCCATGTTGGTTTCCATGTTGGGTTCCATGTTGGTTTCCAACTTTCAGGGGGAAGGTCACCATGGCAAAGGTACCGTGGGGGCACAATGGGGTCCATGTTGGTTTCCATGTTGGGTTCCATGTTGGTTTCCAGCTTTCAGGGTATGGGGGAGGTCACCATGGGAAAGGTACCATGGGGATCCATGTTGGTTTCCACGTTGGGTTCCATGTTGGCTTCCAGCTTTCAGGGTATGGGAAAGGTCACCTTGGTTTCCAGCTTTCAGGGTATGGGGGAGTCATCATGGGAAAGGTACGATGGGGCTCCATGTTGGTTTCCATGTTGGGTTCCATGTTGGTTTCCAACTTTCAGGG